TTTTATTTAGTGCAAGTGTAGCTCGGATCAATGCATTTTTATCAGAAACATACGCATGAAATATTCTCGACCTATTGATGTTCATATAATTGAAATTAATTGAAGCCTCAGTTCTCAAGTGCAAGCTGTTTTCAAAAATTGTATTTATTTCTTTTTTGTTGAGACGTAGCTAAGAACTTTATTTTATCTACCTCTTTCTTTAAAATTTTGTTATAATTATAAGATCTTCTTTTCCTTGTTTGCGAGAAATTTTGCTTTTTCTTTTCAGTCTTTCTTAAGAGGCTTTCTATTTTGTTTTAAGCTAAATTTCACTTTATAGAATGAGAACCCATTGAAAGAAAAAGATTCTAACAAAAGATTTAAATTTATTTATTTTTTTATTAATTTCATTTTTTTTTTAGGGTAACTAATGGAAATGCTATGATGATAAGCTGATTTAAAAAGTAAAACAGCAAAAACCAAATGAAAATTTAAAATGAATTTTATGTTATTTAATAATTCATAAATAAATGTATTTTTTAATATATGGCGATATAAAGATAAAATCGGTTTATATATAAAAAATAATAAAAATTTAACAAAAAATTATCTGATCAAAGTAAAATAATAAATTCCTTTTTATATTTATAAGTTAAAATTGAATAATTTTTAATACGAATTATATAATATAAAAGATGATTAAGGACCACATTTTAAAAAATATATATATATGAAGTATTATTGGTTTTGTAAGATTTAACTAAAAAATTATGAAAAAGCGATGCATTTAATTATATTAAAAATTTTTTAATATTAAAAAAGTTAAAATTTAAATTGTTCTTAACTATTTTTAGTATAAATATTTTTGAAGGCATAAGTAAAGCCATCTAATGGAAATAACAAAAATATTGATTTTATATTAACACCCTCTATTAGATTTTTTTTAAAACTATAATATTATACATTTTCAAAATCTTCACAAAGATGAAAATTTATCAAATATTTTATTCAAATATTCCTAAATTAAATTAAAATTATAATAAATTTGAGAAAAAAAAATTAAGATGTAAATTATTATACTTTTAATATTTTTACCAGCAAAAAGCTCTTCAAAATTGTTTTCTTTCACGGAAATTAGTCGGGGGAAAAAAGAAAAATCTATTGTAATAAATTTTTTAAATCATTTCTGTTATAAAAACAAATAAAATTTATTGCATTTTGACAGTTCAATTATAAAAAATAAAATTATAATATTTATGATACCATTACTCTTATATTTTTTTTTTATATTTGGGAGGAAATTATAAATTTTGCATGAAAATAATTTTTATGAAAAATTAATAATGGTGTAAAAGAATTATTAAATAATTTTTTTTATTAGAAAATTCAATTCATTTTAATTTGAATTTATTAGTGGGTGTTTTATTTTTTTTTTTAATTTATACTATTTTTCTTTCCCATTTCTCATTTATGTTAAAAAAAAATAAATGAATTGAAATGAAACTTGATTCTAAAATTTATAATACTTGTTAAATAATAATTTAGAATCTATTTCAATATTTTAGGGGAATGAAAGCATAAAAATTTCCAAAAAAAAAATACAATATTTTTAACAATAAAAAATTTACATTTAAATTATAATAAAATATTAAGATTCCATACCATATGCAATCATGATCATCTTAAATTAAAAAAATATTTTGTATAATATCAGGATTATGTGGTTAAATATAAACAATAATATAAAATTGAAAAAGAAAATTAGAAGTTTTTGTAAAAATAAAAGGGGTCTATTATTAAATATTTTAATTTTTACATATCTATAGCTCTTGTGTAAATTGTTTATAAGTTTTAGACAATATAAGAATAGGATCATTTTTGTAAAATATTAAAATTTGCATTATTATTTTAAAATTTATTTGTAATTTTACACAAGAGAATCGAGAATTTTTAATTATTTAGACATAATTCTAATTTAATCTTAAATAAAACTTTAATATTTCAATGAATCGTATAGAGTATAGACAAATAAATTTTCTTTAAAATAAAATTGATGCTATAATTATAAACTTTTATCATTAATTTAATTAAGAAAAGAAATTTTTTTTTATTTTTTTATCATAATATTGCAATTAAATATATTTATATATTTGTTAAAAATGCATCGATATATTATACAAGGTATACAACATATGATTAATATCACAATAAATATAAAATTATCAATGTAAATTTAATATAGTTTAATATTTAATTATTTCATGTAATTGCAATATTTCAGAAAATTTTTCATTTACAATGATTTTATAAAATATTTGCAAATATATTTTGTTTGAATTAAATTAATTACACCCACTACGAAATTAAAAACCTATGATTTACAATTTCAAATAAACACACTGAGTATACTTTACAATACACACTTTAATGAAATTTCTTAAATATTTTTCGCACAAAATGGTAAAATTAAAATAATATTACAAAATTCTATATGTATATTGTTTCAAAAAGATTCATTATTAGCTATGTGTCTCTTATTTAAGGTAAAACTTGTTTATTTAATCATATATAATCATATATATTTATGTAAACATTCAATTTATGTTATAATATACATTGTACATATACGTAAGGTTTCTTTATGTAAAAAAAAAAAGTTCAATTTCACAGAGTCTTAATATTCTCTAGAGTAACTTGTCGCAAAAATGAAACAAAATTAATAAAACAAAATATATATAAAGCGTTGCTTTTGCTTTTGCTTTCAATTTGTTTTGTTTTCTTTAAAAAATTTCTTAAGGATCAAAAAAAGGATTTCCAAATCAGGTTATGTACATTAAGGTTCATGTATTTTGTGTAGCTTAGAAAGAAAATCCTAATGCAATGTAATTTAGAGAAATTTTTGCGTAAAGTATAAAATAATTTGCGTTTATATAAAAAAAAATTTTAATGTGTTGTTAATATTTTTGTACTCCTGAAATCAAAACGTAGGTACATATAAATATATGATATGTAAATTGTTTAATGTTACCACTCGTGGGGAAATAAAAGTGTAAACCGCTAAATTATTAATATTAATATATACAATGTGTATATAAGAAATATAAAAAAAAAAACAAATCTTTTGAGAACAATTTCAAAGTATTTTGGGGAATAAAAAATTCTTTTAAAATTTTTACAAAGATATGTTTGTACCTTAAGAATTGAGAGTTGATCATTTTTGAATTCCAGATTTCTGGTCAATGAATTAAAGACACAAATCTTATTAAAGATATAAATATATACATATGTTAGCTGTTTAAAATTAATGTTCTTAGTTTGCAAAATCTGAAATAAATAAATTAACAATTAAATCCGTTTAAGCTTAGCAATCTTTTAAAAATTGATTGCCCACTCTTGATACTGATTCTTGAAAATCATTAGATAATTGGTTATTCAAAAAGATTTTCACAAAACTAAAAAAAAAATTGAATCCTGTATGGAAATAATTTCCATAATGCCCCGATGTCTGGCTTATTTTTTTTATTTTGGCGCCTGAAAATACCTCAAACTTAATTTTTAATATTACATTTTTTTTCTTGTTTATTTTCTAAAACTTGGTTTTTGCATGTAGATCTTACACGTGTATTTTACTTATAAACACATACATACATATGCTTCTTTAATAGATTTATATGGATTTTATAAGGTATATAAGGTATAATCGGGTTAAAATTTATAATAAGATTAAGTTTTCAATTTCAAACCATTATATGGTACATATAATGATAATGATGACGATGGCGCGATGAGTATGATGACGAAGACAACGGCAACGGCAACGGTGGTATTATAACGGTAAAAAAAATTCTTGAGATTTTCAGATTTTTTATTTAAATTTTAATCGTTTTTGTAATAAAAAAAATATTTGAAAAAAAGCAAAATTATATACATATGCATGTATGTGTACATGGAGACGAGGAAAATTAAATAAAAGATTAAAAAAAGTTTTATTGTTCGGATTTCTTTATATGTCATATATGTATGTATGCATGTGTATAAATTATATGTTTAAAGTCAAAATTCTTCTGCAAATTAAGTTTTATGTCAAATAAACGTTTTCACATTTGAGTTCATATTATTAGCATATTATCATAATATATATATACATGTATATGTATTGTACATATATTTTAGAAAATTTCTCATATTAATGTAAATATTTTTAGTTTTTTTTTCTTTTTCGTTCTTTTTAAATCACAATGAATTAATTTTCTTTTGTAATTTTAGTTAAATTTAATTTTTTTCAAATTAAATTGTCAAACTTATTTTTATTGATTTAAATGGTGCCAAAATTCTATTTCCCTCAAATAAATATTTTTAAAATATCTCGTAAACAAGAAGAGTTTTTTTTGGAGTATTTGAATTGAAAAGAATTTAGAAATTTAAATATGTTTAGATTAGCTTTTATTAAAAAATTTTTTGCTATTATTGCAAAATTTATTATTCATTACCCAATTTTAAACCCGTTTTCGGCATTATTGTGTATTATCAGACTTAAGAGCTGATAACTCTCTGACTGTTTTGCCTTACTACCGCAAAATTTCGTTTTGAGAATATTTATTTTCAGTATTACGTTTATAATATAAAAAATATTTTTGTTTTAAAAATGTATTCAACTTACCTTTGATTTTATTATAAGTAGTAATGAGTTGTTTTTACGTCATTTACTTTCATATAGATTCTAAGTGTAAATATGGTAAAACATAAAAATAATCCTTTAAAATAAAATGAAATTTCTTTATCCTAGATTATACAAATTTCCTTATCCATGTATTAAAAATATTCGGTGAATTTGTTTTTTAAATCTAATATTTTTTTTTAAATTTTTACTATTAAATTTTATTTTAAATTAAAATTTTCTTATTATTACACTATTTTCTCAAAATTAATTTTGTAATTTAGTTGTAATTTTATTTTTAAAATTATTTTACAGTATAAACTAATGGTCCATATTGTTTTGTTTTCTTTTTTTCATTTCTGTCTTTAATTTAAATTTAATTAATTTTAATACAATTATATTATATAATTAGTCTTTATTTACATTCATTATTATTTATATATTATTTTATATAATTTTGTTATTTTTTACATTTTAATTTTATTTATATATAGGATTTCTTTCTGTTTTTTTTATATTAAAAAATATTATTGTTAATTTAATTTACTTAAAATATGTTAGTATTTTGTTCATAAATTTATATTTCTTTAGCTTTCCTATTACAAAATTTTAGTCAAACTTTTTATTTAATAAATTTTTTATTTTAATTTTTTAAATTTAAATTTTATTTAAATTATTTTAATTTTTGTTTTATAATGATATTAAAAATTATATACGAAACATATGAAATTTTTTTATTGATTGATTTATAATTTTAAGAATTATGTTAATTTTGTAAATTAATTTGTAATTTCAGAGGTCATCTATTCTTATTGTTGTGGAATGTTTTGTACAATTAACCGAAGATTATAGAATATCAATATTTGATGTACCATTACCAGTTGTGCGTGTTGTTTTTGTTAATTGATGATTTCTTAAATCCATTGGTGGTGGTCTACCGCACCAAACAACCTTAAAAGAAATAATAAAATTATATAATAAATAAAATATTTTTGATTTTTTAATAAATAATTTATAAATTAAATCATAAGTTCGGAAAAAATGATATCCAAAGAAATTATATGAACAAATGTAATATAGCAATCAGATTTATTTTCAATATTTCAAAATTCAGAATTGAAAAATATTTTCCTCCCAAAGAAGTGTGACCTTCTGTGATGAGAAGTACAACTTTTTTTCAGATGATTTTGGTGGTCTACCATATTTGATAATGATTCTTCTTCGTTTTCTATAAACATGAATAGCATATCTTTCTTGATAGTTAACTTTATTTCAGGATACAATTTCTCAACTCAACATTGGCCTCTCCTATGCCTTAAATTGATGATCTTGATTTGATTTTATTTCTAATCGGTATCCAAATGATAATTTGGAATACCGATTAGAATTCACAATGAAAATTTTATTACAATATAGTTCTATTCTTATTGTAAATTTGAAAATAAATTTTTAAAAAAATTAAGCATAGGTATCTCAATTTCTTATATAATAGCATTTTTCAATTTTCTTATCCGGTATATAAAATCCTTGTGCATGCTTTAGAAAGTGCTTAATATTAAAAAAAAATATCTTAATAAGTAAAAATAATAAAAGAATAAGAAAGCTGGAAGAAACGAAAATACAATGAAAATTTTCCTCTTAAAACATTTTAAGATTTTTTTTTTTGTACCTTTAGTTTTTTTCTTTAAAGTATTCTGTATGAAATTAACAGTAATCTAATGGTAAATTGCTTCCGAATATTAAAAATTTTTTTATTTCTTTATTGTTATTTTAAATAAGTAGGTGTGTTTGTGAATTTTATCTTGACATAAAGTCATACAATAGCTCTATGACACTTTTTTTTTTGAAAAAATTTTTTACACAGCAAATGAGTCTTTTTTTTCACCTAAAAATAATTCTATTGTTTCAAAAGTATAGAAAACAAAAATAATTTTTTTTAAAAATGTTGCAAGAAGACATCCTTGGAAATGAAAATATATTTTTGTTATATCTTAAGTAATTATAAAGAAATATATGTATGTATATTTATTTATATATGTATATACAAACATAATTGGTAGTATTATAATACGATACCGTTTGTTGAATTAAGATAGCTTAAAAATAAACTCCATTGTTTTATTTAAAGGATTCTCTAACTGAACAATGATTGTGTTGTCGTGTATTCTTTTATAGAATTTTATTGTTTTCACTATCCATTCACTATCTATTCTACAATAATTACCTATGTGGAAAACAAAAAAATCCAAAACCAAAATGAAAAAGAAATGAAGGGTTGGAAGACTATTTTTCAAAATTTTTTTTATAGAAAGTTTTTAATATAGGAGCGATTCTATTAACAGGTTCGTTTAAGTTGGATTCATTGGGTCGTCACTATTATGTAGAGATAAAAAAGGTTCACTAAAATCTAGTTGCAGCTGCAGCTGCAATGAAATTTAATAATTAAAATAATATTGCTTTGCGAATCTGAAAAAGATTCTGAAATATTTAATGAATTTAGAGCTTGATTACATTGACACAATTTTAATTTACTACATGGACTTAGAAAAATGTTTTTATTCTTTAATCTCTTTTTTATATCTTCATGGAAACACTTATACAAATTGTCATTTGTCATTGAATGCGAGATTAGTTAGTGGTGTTAAGGTGAATGTCAAATATTAATTCAATTAATTTTTTAAAACCAATTAGAATATTTATGTTCAAGAGCGGAAATTTAAAAAAAATCTTAAAATTTAAATAAGGAAGTAGTGTTTTTTGTACAATATAAATTGATTAAGTGAATTTGGAACCAAAAAAATTAAAATAAAGTTGTTATTTTGTCGTCGTTCTAAGACCTTTCAGACTCAACTGACGACAATTGGGCTAGTTTTCAGTTAATGTTGATTGCCAGGCTCCCTTTGGTAAGTAAACTGGGGTGAGATGAAAAAATTCGATTGATTTTCATTTTTGTCTTGCTTAAAAATTTCAAATTTATTAACAATTGAAGAGTTTGTATGTTCTAACACTTTATTAACAATTGAAGAGTTTGTAATGTATAAAATTTGTATTTGTTTATTTTAAGTGATGAGGCTCAATAGTTCATGCATGATGAAGATCTTGCGCTACCTTGTTTATTGGGACGCTGAATGAAGCTACATAACAAATTTGTAATTATAATGAATTTTTCTAAATAAGTATACTTGTAAAAAAATAAATTTATTTTAGGTGGATAAATCCAACAGCTGTACCCTTGTAGATTTTGATGTATGATGATACTCGTGCGTTAATTATTTTCTGTTAAGTTTTTGAAATTTGTGTTATGTTGTTTGTTGTAGATATATAAATTGAGTTATATTTGATGCAAACAGCACCAATTCAATTATTACATTTCATGCACAAATTCAAAATTTTGCTTATACATATGATATAAATAGTATATGCGGGTATTTTGAATAATAATTTAGTATAATGGAACTTATATATTTGCAAATGAAATGAAAAATACTTATACCAAATAACTTTTCAAAAATATGCATTTTAAATAAATAATTGAAAATATATGAGTACATATTTCAATTATTATACATATAATAATATAAGATCAAAAAAATAATATAAAATCAGATTATCCGTTTCAAGTATGTTATTACAGTTTTATGTACTTGTTGATTATTTTGGTATAACATATTTCAAAAAGCAAAATATTATTATATGACATTTGTTATAATATTATAAAATCCTTAAATTAAACTGAACAAGTTTTAGATTCTTATATACATACATATGTATATTTAGTAAGATAAGCAAAAATTATACTTAAGTATAAAATAAAGTTTAAGAGCATAATTTTAATATGATAATAAAATTTATATTGTGATTTATTATACAATTGTAGTAAAATAATGTAGGTGTATGTTAAGTGCATTAGATGAAAAATCTTTTATATTTTATTATACATGTACTTTATGTGCATACACTTGTATACGTTGTATTTAAGGAGTTAGGATTTTTATTTAGGTTAAGTGAATAATGTAGTTTAATATATATATATATATATAATATAATAGAAGGTTTAATATGAATAGGTATTTGAGTTTGGTTAATTTCCAAAATTATAGTGATCACTTAAGGGGTTTAATACTCTATTGCAAGTGGTATTTAGTCAGAGTTTATCATTATTTTATTATGTAAAATTTGTTTAGTATTACCTACTCACTCTTAATAGTAATGTTGCGTTAGTAGTGTTCTTCGTTTTTTTTAAATTTAAAATATCAGAATTATTTAACAAGATTATTTTATGTCAAGGATTCATTGCGTAACTAGTTTATGTAAAAATTTATTTTAATTTAAAAATTCATTTGCATTTCAACATGAGATCACTTACAAGTGAAATTTTCATTTAATTTTTTTTTTTCTATATGGATTCAGTGAATAATTTAAAGACGCCAATGCACGATTATTTTTTTGCATAATTAAAATATCAATCATATTCCATGTCAAAAAAAAAAACTAAAATAAACGAAATATTTTAGTTGAGAAAATTTTATTCTTTCATATACAGAATGAAATTTGGTTTTTTTATCAAAAATTAATGTTTTAGAAAATTAAAAAGTTTAAATTTAAAAAAAATATATATACATATCTATACAATTTTATTAAAAAACTTAAAAAAAAAAATGCATTTTCCAAATAACATGTAATTTTTAAATTCAGTGGGTTGATTGGTGGTTGGTTTATTTCATGTATTATTCATATATTCTGCGCTCATTATACATACTCGTGAACATTGTATAAATGCATATTTTAAAATTTTTTAGAGAAAATTTCAAATTTCCATTTCGAAAAACAGAAAAAGAACAAAGAATATAATGAAAAAATTATGTAATGTGGTTGATGATTGCATTTAAGATTTAAGATAAATTTAAAGTTGTTGATGAAATAAAAATGATAGAGAAAACTTGCTAAAAAGAACAAAAAATTGTGCATAAAAATGAGTATTACATAAACCCTTAAAGTTTCTTATACATACATATTATATTTTTTTTATATATTTTAAGGATATTTTACAATAGTTATAGGGTATATATAAGAGATTTTGAATAAAAGGGATCTTGAACATATAAAGGGGCCAAATAAACTAAATAAGCATTTTGTATTTTTAAACAATAAAAAAAGAAAAAACAAAAATACCTTATTAATATTTTTATAAATAAAAAATATTTTATTTTTACAATTATATGTGAACATTTAATTTTCAAAAAGGGTTAATAAACACTATTAATTGTGTTTTTTATAAAAAAAAATTGATTTTTTATTTTTAATAAGCACTTATTGTACCAAAAACCTTTTAATAAGGTCAAAAATATTTAAAAAGTGCACACTTTTCGTGCGAAATTCAATATTATTAATTTCATAAAATTGAGAAAAAATTTGAAAAAGTTATTAATTAAAAATTGAATTTAAATTTTGGGTTTAATTTTGTTTAGCATTCGTCGAAAAATTTAAATATTTAAGATACGTATTCTGTTTTATGGCTCGAAATAGTAATAAAAGAAATGAAATGTAAGAAATCAAAGATTTCATCTTGACAATTTATGATTCATTATCAATGTCTGTTAAGTAAATATATAAATTATATTATAATAGAAATTTTTCCATCGCATACAACTTTTACAACATTTAATTGTACAAGTTGCTGCGGATTTGAACAACTTGCCATGTATAATTTATGTACGAAACTTCTTAAGTAAAATATTTTCGATGGCAAGAACAAAAAATAAATCAAAAAAAAATTTGATAACAATAAAATTCTTGATAATCCTTTTTCAAACGATATTATGAAAATTTTCAGTCCTTTAATTATATATAATATTAGTATGAGTGTTATAAAAAAAAACAGTTTTGTGTGTCTATCTTAACCAATTTGTAAAACTTTCTTTAAATTAATTATTCATTTTGTGAATTTTGGTTACAATTACATGAACATTTTAAGATTTGTTTTCAACACTTTCTCTTAGGCAAAAAAAAAAATACACTAATTCTTTGTAATTTGTTGCTTTTCTTTAAGAAATTCTAAAATTTTAGTTTAAAACAGCACATTCTCTTTTTATAAATATATATTTAAGTTAAAGAATATTGAAAATTAATAAAATCTAGGATAAATTAACAGATTAAAAGGCAATTTACTTAATATTTAAATATCGAATAATTAATTTGCAGAACTTTGAGGTAAAACTTTTAATAAATTTGTATCAATCGCATTGTTAATATATATGTCAAAAGGAAATTACATCGTTTTACAGGAGTTTATCATACAAAATTTGAAAATTATAATTTGGAATGTCAACCGAGCCTGTTTTGAACGTCAACCGAGCAGCGAATTAATAGTTTTAATTGAGTACATTTCCAATAAAATTTATTTTCGAAACATAGCACAAATGGCAAGGAATCTCTTAAAATATTATGTTAGAAATATCAAAAGTATATAAAACATTTTCAACTTTTTTCAAATATTCAAGCATATTAGATAATGCCTATATATAACAAACAAGGATACTTTCTTAAAATTCCTTTTTTTTCTTTTTTTGCCTATATACCATTTCATATTTAAAGAAAAAGAACAGGAACTGAGTATTTAGTTAATTTTGTAGAACCGTTTTTTCTTTCGTTCCTTTTTGCATTCTTTTGTATAGATTGTTTTTCGTGTATTTAGACTTGAGTTGATTTTTCTTTTTTTGATATTTTTATAATTTTCTGAATTTGTTTGTTATTTTGGGTTGTTTAGAAGTACTTAAAAAAATTATAAGTAAATGAAATTTCTGTTAAATGGTAAAATTGCTGTGAGAGAAAAAATAAATAAAAAAAAATGAAGGAAAATAATAATAAAGTTCATTTTTTATTAGAACAACTAGTAAAGAAAAGTTTTTTTTGAAACAAGAGTGAAACGCCAGTAAAAAACCAACGCAAAGTGTTTCATAAAATGAAAAAAAAAATGTAAAATAAACTTTTTCATGGTTTATGGTAACCAGTGTTTTCATTAAATTTAGTGTTTGTACACAGTTTGTATATATGTACATTAATATTTTAGAGTATTTTGTAACATAATTTTAAGGATTATAGAAAAGAATTGTTGATAAAAGCATAAATTTTTAGAAAATATTTTCTACTTCAGTTAAATTTTAATTTTTTCTTTAACAGGATTTCTCGTTTATTGCCTCTTATTATTTAAGTATTTTTTTTTTTCTAAAATGCCCATTGGGTGAATTTTGTTCTTTAGGATTTGGTTCATTATAATTGTATATAATCTTTGATGAAAAGGACTCTTAATTAAATAGGAATGTTTAGAGTTTTGTATATGGTACATTTGACAATTTAGACAATAATCAGTTTTCTGCTTTTATTTTTTATCTTGAGAATATGAGAGTAACACTGGATTTTTGTTTTGTTTTGGCTTGGAGGACTTTTTACTCTTGAGGTTAAAAAGGATATTCTTTAAAAATTAAACATTATTCAAATTAATTATGTTTCCTATTTTCCAGGAATTTATAATTTAGTTTTATAAAACAATTATTAAAATAAATTTATTAGAATAAAATATTATGAATTTTTTTAATTCATATAAATTAAATTTACAGCATAAGATTGCGTGTTAATTAAAGTGTTATTAGGTGATTTTTAATTGTACTTGTTGTTTTAAATAATAATATTTGTGAAATTAAAAATAAAAATAATTTAGTTTTAATTTTTAAATATTTAAGAAAAAATTAAATGTAAATTATTATAATCTGTTTTATTTTAGCGTTTTTCTTATGTGCTCATGCCAGCTTTGGGATTGAGAAGTCGAAGATTACTTCGGTTGAATTTGTTTTTGCAAGTTACAAACCTGGAAAATGTTAATGACAGAGATTTAAGTCAGTTAATAAAGGACTCTGGTTGGTTTAAGAGAGAGTGGGGATATGGTGATCCAGCGGTATCATAACGGGTCTACCTGGCCTGGGAATCTTTTGATAGCCGCAACCTGTCACTGTTTTAAGCAAATTAATCTTTTCTTATAAATTTTTTTGTAATATTTATTTAATTACGTTAAAATTATTTAAGTGATTAATGTAGTATTAAAAAAAATAAAATGATTGTAGATGATGTAGAGATGTAGAGATTTTGATAAAATTATAAAATTTAGTTACACATGAAAAGTACTTGGTTATTTTTGAATTATACTCTTATAAATAAATATGATTTTATTTAGTTTTTCAAAATGGGAAGTACTTGTCTTTGTATTTTAGTTTTTAATAATTCTTTGGATTAGACTAATTAACATAATTTCAATTATGTTTCAGTATAAAGATAATTCATTTCTTTTTGTAATCTTCATAGTATTAAGATTTTTGAATAATTAATTTTAGTTAAATAAAAAAATTTAATTGAATTTATACTTACTTTTCTAAATGCCTTACGAAAATTATCTGATAGAAACGCATATAAAATTGGATTAACACATGAATTCGTATACGCCAGTACATGTGCAGTTATTTGACATATTACTGCAAATAATGAATTATTGTACAATTCTAATGATTTTAGCACCAAAATAATCTGAAAATAAATTTGTAAATTTAAAAAAAATCATTAGTAATGTTAATAATTGGTTGATTTTTTTATATATTTAATTAAAAATTTAAATAAAAATTTATATAATATGTAAAAATAATATTAATTATACTAATTGTTCATTATAAATTTTATTTTATTTTCATATTTGACACACAAAAAATTCTGCTGAATAAGTAGCTAATATGCTTTTCCATTTTATAAATAGCTGATGGTTAAAAATTTATAATATTAATAAATGAGCAGATGCTAATGGCAATCATTTTATATCAAAAAAGAAATCTATATGAATTATAAATTGGTGTGGATAAGGTGAAGAACAAATGTATTCAAATTATTTAGAACAACATTCAAATTATTCGGGACATAGAACATAATAACTCGTATTAAATTACCAAAGTGAGAGGCAATTTATTTTTGTGGAATGGAAAAAATATCTGTTTTTTCAATACGATTGCTGAGAAGCTGAGAACAAATTAAGAAATCCATATTATATATTAAGAGCAACTCACAAGCATTATGTAATTTATAAAATGCAGCCAGACATAAGATTGCAACCATTCTTTGTAGATAATATCAAGTTTTGAATTATAATTAATATATACTAATTAAATAAGAAAATTAATATTTATTGGTCGTTAAAACCGATTAAATTTTTAATTGAAAATTACTATAAATATGTTCTTGTAATGAAATGAAATAGTTGATTGCAATTGTAATTTATTGAGAAATATTTTCATCTATTTATTGCTGATTACTAGAATTCAAAAATATGTAATTATATAATATTTACATATATAATTTTTAAAATTTTATTGATAGATATTATTGTAAGTAATTGCATAATAATACAGTGTCCCACTAATAATTGTAGTTTTAATTGTAGATAGTAATTGTATAATAAAGTAGTCAGCTCTGTTTTCATATAAAACAAAATTGTATATTAAATGAGTAGTTTATATAAGTTATTTATATCCTATAAAATTTACTAAAGGTATAAGCTTGTTATTTCGATGCTCGATCATCGAAATATATTCCACCAGGTTATCTGAAAATTATTATTAAGCTAGATTTTATAAAAATAATGACTTAAAGGAGTATGAAATAATTTGTAGTTAGTGTCAGCATATATAAATAATGCATATATCTACTGTATTCGATAATTATAAATTATATAATTATTGTTAATTTAAGTTTTTTTTATAGATTTTTTGTACTTAATTCATTCAACAACTTTATTTATTAATCTCTTTATAATATTTATTTTAATTCAAATGAAATTTCATTTTTATAATTTGTAAAATGATGTAAATGCATTGCAAAAATTATTATAAAATGTTAAAACCTACAATATAAATTATATTATATTATTAAATTCTTTTTATATTTCAAAAATTCAATACGTTTTTTTGGTATTGAATTAAAATTTAACTAATTAAAATTCGAAATAATGCGTGGGTTCTTTTGATCTATTAGGAATTAAGTATTTAATTTTATATTTTACATTTATTTTTAAAATCTATCAAATATGAAAATATGAATTGTAAAAATAAGTATTTTGAATGAATATTATAATTATATTTAAAATAAAAATTATTATTGAATTAAATTTAAAAGTTGTTTATGCGGGTAGAAAAAAATTTGCTAATTTGCAATTTGAAAATATTATTTTTGATATTTAAGTATGTTATTTGCTAATTTATTAACTTTATTTGTGTAATAATGTGTTCTTTGGAATTTCTCGATCATAGAAATGGAAAAGTTGTCAATATATTTAAATAATTAAAAATTCAATTTTCTTATTTATTGATGCAAAAATATGTTAATATATTATTTTTATTTAAAATCAAATATACAATTGATTAAAAATTTATAACATTTTGGGCAAATATACTGAAAATCGTATAAAAAATTGTTTAAATCTTTAAAATACTTCAAAAAATTATATATATACATAAATATCATTATTTTTTATATTACGTTTATGATTTTATAGGTAATTTTAATGAAATAAGTAATAATTTTTAAATTAGATTAAATTTTAAACATTTTTTAATGTAATAGTAGCTATAAATAAATTGAGGAAGTCATAAAAAATTTGTATTTCCTTTTATAGATGTGCTTATGATATAAATTTAATAAATTAAGTAAATAAATATTTGACTTATTTAACCAAAAATAATTACAAATTAATATTAATTTTTCATTTCACCACCTTTATATTAATAATTTGATGCAATATAATTATTTATTATATAAAAGAAGATGTGAAAAATATATTAAAATATTCTGTTATTAAAGCTTAATATAAAAATTACGACTTTGATTAACAAATTTTTTAATTTAATCCTCAAATTTTATTATAAAAATTAGAAAAAATCAATAATAATATTAAAAAATTAAAAAAAAAATTTCTTGCATAAATTATATTTGAAGATTGATTTGATTCGTTTGGTAGTAATAAGCTAAGAAAATGGCAATATAAAATATGCTTAGAGTATAAGTGTTATAAGGATATCTTTTAAGACTCATATTTTCAATTTTAAGATATACTATATATCGTATTTGCCTGTATCAAAATTATACATTTCAGTTTCTATACATTGGTTACTCGATTTGTTATAAATTTAAATGTAAAACCATTATACAATTTATGAGAGCCTTTACTTTTCATTTAATACAAAATATTATGAGAAAAAATTACGTGTTTGCAATGTAATAATTTTCTATATTATTAATTTTAATTTTAAAAGGCCATAAAAATTTAATCATTATTGCTTGATTCAATTTTATACATATATTTCTAATTTTAAATATCTTATATATGTACGATTATGGAAAATTTTTTAATAATTTTTTCAAAACAAAAAGTGGTTGATTTTTTTTTAGATAATGTAGGGTACCCTAGACTCAACAGTACTCACGCAGTAGGGCGATGGAATGGCTCCAGATGAGCTTGAAATATCAACAGACATTTTGTTTCTTAAGCTCTCTTTCTGGAATTATGTGACCTCTATGTTAGAATTTGTGAAAATCATCTACAATTTTTTTAAATTTTTATTGATATTTCGGAAATATAGAGAACCATCTAGTTTTAAAACTCATAGAATTGTTCGTCTGGATTTGATTCGATCACTCTACGGCGTGAGTACTGTTCGGACACCCTGTTTTTATCACAAATGTCCTTCCATTTTTATAATATGAGTCCTATATATTTTTTAATATTTGATAGATGTTTAAAAAATTATGATATAATATTTTCATTGTTATTAGGACAAAAATCGAGTTTTTTTTTATATTATTATAGAAAAATTTATGGAACATTTATTATATTAAAAAAAATTTTCAACATTTTTAAAGAAAAATATTAAAATTGTGGAACGAAAATTATTTCTAATGCATTAAGTTTATTGCCCATGAAGCCCATGAAAAAAACCAAAAAAAAAAAATTATACTTAAATTGTTAATGTTGTATTTCTTTTAAAATGTTATAAAAATTATAAAATGTTTCTTATAATATATTTTAGATGTTGTATATTTCGATTAGATTAATAAGTACAGCCATTTAATATTTGATATACAAAATATTTGTATTTTTTTTAGCAATATTGTAATGTACACTAAAGGCCTTATAAATATTTCATATTAAATCAAATTAGTTAAAACTGAATTATCAAAATTTAATTTGATTAACTATGTCATATTCTATAGGAACTAATGCTTAACTCTTGTTTAAAATATTTGAAAAACAAGAATTTTCATTCGATTTTCATTAAAAAAATGGACTTTATGCTTAAGGATGTCTACGAATCACAGAATTTTCAAACATTAATAAGTACTTAAATGTTCAATCATCTGAATTGTTGAAAGACTTTGTAAAGTATATTAATCCCCCATTCCTCTGTAGTGAAAAATGAATCCCCAATGTCACATTTCATTTCATTTTTTTTGGAATTTTATTCTTGTAGACACTTTTTCTTTTAAAATTCTGCTGGGAATTAAATGGAAAAATTTTCTTTTTGTATTTTTTTTTGTATTTTCTCCAATATTTTATAGTCAATTTATCATAATGATTTTATTTAATTATTCCCATTTAATGTTCGCATAATCGCAAAATGGTTTTTGAAAACAATTCATCAAAATTTAAATTCTTTTATGTCTTTACAATTTCAGTCATTCTAAAATGTTATTTAATATTACACATCGTTCATTTTTGTTATAAAATTTTAATTTTGGAAGGCGTCTTTGTATAAAATAGTAGAAAAGACATTTATTTTAAAAATAAGAAATGACATTTTTAATTTTTCAGCAACTTTTTTGTTTTGTTGAAACAAGATTGTGAAACGAATCAAATTTCCAAAAAATTAAATTGAAATTGTAAGAGAAATGACAGGAAAATTATAGTATTGAAAATCAGGATATGGATGTGGAGCTTTTCATTTTCCGTGTGTAAAGAATTAAGTAAAATGAACACTTATCTTTCAATACACTTAAAAGTTACGAATTATAAGGTTGACAAGTTGATTGAGTTGATTGATTAAAATTGAGGCTTGATTTAGGAATTTATTAATATAGTAAACATTGGATTGAAAGATGATTCGAACCATAATTGCAAAACAGAATTTCAAGTAAGTAAAAAGCATTACGATTTAGTGAAAGATATACATACATATGTATAGAAGTTAAGAATTGATGTGCACACATAAAATTCAATGGTTTTTTCTCTAACTTTGCTAGCTTATTTATTTATCGTTTGAATTTTGAAAGTCATTTCAATTTGATAACGAAATTAATATTCTTAGGGTACTTGCATCAGGAGGATAATAAACTTTGTATATTATGTCAGTTTAGTAAACTAAATCCTTTTAAACAAAAAAAGAAGAAACAAAGAGCAAATAACTTTTTACACTCCTGCTGTAATGTTTGTGTGGTAGATAAGTGAACCACAAAAAAAAAAGAGAGTGTATATAATTTGTATTAAGAAC